TTCTGACTTTTTCTCAGAATCTCAAAATTCTGACTTTTTCTCAAAATCTCAAAATCTGACTTTTTCTCAAAATCTCAAAGTTCTGACTTTTTTTTAAATTCTGACTTTTTCTCTAAATTCTGACTTTTTCTCAAAATCTCAAAATTCTAACTTTATTTTCAAAATTCTGACTTTTTCTCAAAATCTAAAAATTATGACTTTTTCTCAAAATCTAAAAATGTTGACCTTTTCTCAAAATCCTGACTTTTTACTCAAAATCTCAAACAGTGTGCTTCACATGCTGATATCCAAGAGAGGGAGTTACTCAGTCACAAGATGGAGGAATAGAAAGCAGTATTCAATGTTTACTTCAGATTAGCTCCACGTCAGAAATGATCATGCTTGTCATATGTCTCTCTCCATAGAGGCTGAATCATCATGTTAATCACATAGCTATCATATGCCTCAAACAGTCCTGATGCTCTTCTAGGTAATCACACATCCTGTCATGTTCACAGCCACAGTTGGGATACCTTTGTTATCATGTGGAACTCATATTGGAAGAGGACATTCAGGATTTCCCGAACACAACTGTATCTGGACTTGTGATGATTGGTATCCTCCTAAATGAAGTTGAAAGTGCAACATGGATACAAACATACCTTATGATGTTCTGTGTTGTGTTCAGGCTCAAGAAGAATTTGAAATCCTTCATTATTCTCCATCCGTCGTGGTTCATCAGGACAATACTGGCCGTCACCAAGCCCTTCATCAGGTACAAGACCAGACCTTTTTTACTTTTAAGGATTCACATATCACACTGAAATATCTCAACAATGATTTGACGGATTGCCATGAAGAATGTGTGCAGACACTCATCGCTGCCATCGGCTTCTCCTCTGGCGTCCTCATAGCATTTCAGTTTTTTTGTGAATATCTGTCGTGATGAATTTGAATAACTTTGGTGATCCTGTAACTTTTCCACTAATACCATCCCTATAGTGAACATTTTAATTTGACCACACGTTGGTTTATTTACGGCATAAGACCCTTAATTGGTCTCAAATGGGAGGAAATTGTCTTGTGGAAAAAGTAATTAGTTTTCTTATTCTGTAAAATGTTGTATTGTGTTCTATAGAAACTTAATAGAAACAGCATGTTCTACTCATGTGCAAGGCCTTGTTTAACATGCTGCTGTAACAAAACAATTCCCCAATTAGGGATCAATAAATTACATCTGATCTAACAATGACAAACACACATGTAAAAACATCACCCTGATTAGTTCAATCAAATAAAAAATCAAGTTGATGCTTGCAGAACAAAACGACATTCAACTTCAACTGTACATTGTTCAGTGCTTATTAGCTTAAATTACAATGCCATGGTAACAATCAAACCTGTTCAACCTCAGCCTTTTAGTAGCATGCTAACGTTAGCAATTAGCTTAGCATTGCTTGTATTGATTCAGATTTAAACAACTTGGGTTTCACTTTTGTGAGAAAAACAAGTTCCTCTGAAGCCAAGCCGGATCATTTACCGTGTGTGTGTGTGTGTGTGTGTGTGTGTGTCCGTGTGTGTGTCCGTGTGTCTGTGTGTGTGTCTCAGCACTAAGTTCAGCAGTAAGATTAAGTACGTGAACAGTTTGGACGAGCTGCAGGAAACCATCCCCATGGACAGCATCCAGATCCCAGAATGCATCATTACGTGAGTCTCTGCACCTCCGAGCACCTCCGAGTCCCATTAAATGACTTTTTATTCATCCTTTCATTTGACCTTTCACCTCCAGAGTCGACAAGGAGCTGAAGGAAGCAGCAGAGAACTCAAAGTAAGACTCTCATTACCTCGGAGCTCATTTATCAGCCGACTCACTCTCAGATCACTCCTGCTGGATCTGGACCAATTGGATTAGCGATTAGCCCACGGTCGCAATTAAGGACGAAGAAGAAATGCTAAAGATGCTAAATGCACTGGCTCCATCTCGTTCATCACTACTGTAGAATAAAGGATCGATCGCCATGATTAATTGAGCATCACATCCTAATTTGCATGACTTCAAATAAACACAACAATAAATCCTGCTCTAACAACCTCTCTGTTTCTTTTTCTTTTTTTAAGGAGGAATAGTTTTCTGATGGGATTGGAGTCAACAACAACAACAACAACAGCAGCAGCAGCAGCAGTAGGAGGAAGAGGCAGAACAGAGTAAGTCCTTTTAAATGTATAATAGTCTTTAAAATATATTTTGAAAGGTTATTTATGGGCTCATTTTTTAGTCAAACTTCCTTTAATTGTCTAAAATATATGTAATCTTTATTCCTCCTTCAAATGTTGGGATTTTATGTTTTTCTTCTTGCTGACAAGATGCTGAAATCCAGATGATGGAATAAGGAAGCTTACAGTAAACGTTATATTATAGTATGTTGACAAAAGTATGAAAAAAGACCGTATTGTATGTGGAAAGATATGGAAGAATTGAAACTATAGTGTTTTGAAATGTCATGTTATTTCATACTGAAAAAGTCAGTGTAATGTGTAAAAAAAATTGATATCTATATTATAGTAAATCAAAAACAATGAAAAAGTCCTAGGGTGTTTCTCAATGTCGAGGACGCTTCCTTGGTAGGACATGTCCCTCCGAGTCAGGTTCTTCAGAAGCGAGGCAAGAATCCTTCCTAGCCTCGGAAAACAAAGGATGGTGGAACAGGCTAACAGGTGTGCGTCATATGTGAGGCCCCGCCTTAAATTGAGCGCGATTTCCGCCAAAGATTTGGGAAATTGGTCCGTGCGCAAAGCATTGTGGGGATTTTAAGACCATGTGCAGCCTCGAAATTTCCCGCAACGAAGGACGCTGGCCTCGGTAGAATTCCAAGCACCCTGGACAGTCCTTCGGTGGGACTTGATGATTTCATCTTTGAAATAGTGGCTCTGGAGCATTCCTTCCTCAACATTGAGAAACACCCCTAGTATAGATTGTCTAAAAATATGCAAGAAAAGTCGTTAAAGTACTTCGAAAACGTAAAAGATTGGGTATAGCATGTCGAAATATATGGAAAAAGAGATGGTATAATCAGTCATTGTGTAGTATGTAAAAGATTCATTTTAAAAGTCGATAAAAGTATACTATGTTATGCAAAATAAGTCATATATGAAAAATTCAAAATATAAAAAACTCAGTGTACTGTGTCAAAAAAATAGATAACGCCATGGTATAGTATATAAAAAAAAAGTAAGAATTCGGTATAGCATGTCAGTATATAAATATATTATGAAAAGTCATAGTGTCAAAACTAATTGATACATTCAGAGCATAGTATGTTGAAAAATATTTAAAAAACCCATAGCTCATAATGTCCAGAAATATGTGAAAAACATCATAGGATGGTATATTGGAAACATATTTTAAAAAGTAGTGTCACCCGTACACAAACATAATAATAATATCTCTGTTTCTTCTGTTTCCAGCAGACCAGGCGCAGCGGGGGCCAGCAGCTCTTAAACCCACACGGGTCTTCAATGTCAAAGTTGTATTGTACGGGTAAAGCTGGAAATCAGAGGCCTGTAAAACTAGTGTGTGTGTGTGTGTGTGTGTGTGTGTGTGTGTGTGTGTGTGTGTGTGTGTGTGTGTGTGTGTGTGTGTGTGTGTGTGTGTGTGTGTGTGTCAGTGTTTGTCAATTAGACACTGGAGTTGAATATGAAAACACAACTAGTTAAAACTCAAGAGTTAGATCTGGTTCTCTGTGGAGCGTCAGAGTCAGAGCTACAGCTCGTGGTTCACGGTAGGATAAGAAATAAGAAATGCAATTACACACCGGACAGTGCACTGCGCAAATCCATTTGTAGAGTCTAGTGTTGTGGTCGTGTGCATGAGAAGCAGTGAAGCAATAATATCACCCTTTACTGGTCACTCAGTATTTCAAATTTAAAAAAAGCCACTTGTGTGTTAGCAATCCACAATAAAAGCACAAGGTGAAGCCAAAAATACAAAAGCCTTGTGCCATAGATGACCAACTGTTGCATTTAAGCAATCCATTACTCTGTCTTAAAACTACTTCTAAACATTTAGAGCTAAGGAGTTAAATAGATATTATATAGAGTCTTTATGAAACTAAAGAGAGTTATGGCGCTTTTCCACTGCACGGCTTAGTACGGTATAGTTAGGCCTTGGTAGGCCAGGCTCACTTTATGCTGCGTTTCTATTACAGTTTAGTAGCTGGGGTAGTAACTATAGTAACGCAGTGTAGGCGTGTTTCTCATCTTCAATGAGAAACACAAAACCAACATCATCCGTTAGCTGTTAGCACTCAGAGCTCACAGCTCCTCATATCTGTTCAGAAACTAGACAAAAGTGAAACAAGTCCAAACCACAGACTGTCTGTGTCATGGAGAATACGGTCGCTGGTTTATTTATGTCTGTAGGCCGTTGTTGTGAGTGTGGAAGGTCGGAGCATATACTGCGTTAGCTTAGCCAAGCTCCATTCAGAAAACAGGCATTTTAAAAGTTTTTTCGCCTGCCGTCTGTCAGAAGACTTGTCAAAGCATTAATTCATGGTTTTTACTAACCGGTTTCAGTATGTTGTTACTTCGGCATCATTTTGAAACGTGTATTACAATTAAATCACGGTAAATATGTTCATTTAGTTGTAGCCTCCTCACTAGTTTAGCATACTCAGCCCGGTTGTTGGCCCGGAAAGAACCTCGATTTTGGAGGGCCAGAAAAACTGTGAAAAAGTACCCGTTAGCCGGAGCTACCCCAAGTGGAAACGCAAAAAAAACGGGCCGGTTTTGGCACGCTTAAACCGTGCTCCGCGCTGCAGTGGAAATGCGCCATAAGTTATAAGAAGTGATCAGTGTGTTGTCTTTTAGCTCCGTTTAAAGAGTCCTGCATCATCATGGAGGAACCTCAGAGCTACATTAAAGATGGGATTTCTGTAAAGCACAATATCTTCTGTGTGTGTGTGTGTTTGTGCGTCAGTGCATGTCCCCTCATAGATAACTGATCAGCTGTGTAGAGGATGTGCAGAGGAGCTATGAATCACTGTCTAGTAATTCAATAAACATTAAGTCTGAAATCACGAGTGAAACAAAGTTCAGAGTCATGACTTTATTTCCACTTTTTTTTTTGTATTGAACTTCAATGACAGCAAGCATGGGAATATATAAAAAAAAAAACGCCACAACAATTAAACGATGAGTAATGAAAGTAAATGCCCATAATATATTAATAAATATTGCCAGAAAAAGTCATTAAACAAAAAAAAAGAAGCTCCATACAGTAAAACCACGTGTTACCGTGTCAACAGGCTGTTAAAGGCACAATTAATTAGGATGTGTTGACTGCAGGTAGTAAACAACATTCAATGCAGTCATGCCTTGTGTTTCACATTGATATCATTTAGTTTTTTTCACCACTGTGTACTCCATTTTCATAGTTTTATCTTTGATAAGTGCAAACAATCTGGTACCTGGTTGTAAAACATTTTAAAGTTGTTCCAAAAACAGCAAAAAAATAAGACAGTAAATCCAGGCAGATAAAGACACCGCCACACACTTCTAGAAGGACATAAGTGATGAATGAGGGTGAGACATTATATATATGTATATATATATTTTGGGGAAAATCCTACACTTTGAGCCTTTAAGAACACATGTCATTTTACCTGCAGCACATTTTGTGAATGGATAGCGGTTGTAAAAGGCAGCTTGTTATAAACAGATTGTCTCATTTGGTTAAATTAACATACATTTTCTAGCTGTCATTTGTTTATATTAAAGGGGACCTATCATGCAAAATGCACTTTTTGATGTTTTTCATACATCAACATGTGTCCCCGGTGTGTCGGGGAACTCACGCAGCGTCAGAAAATAAAACCCTCTCTCTTTTCCTCCGTACCCAAATCTCTAAAAACGGGGAACAAAGGAGCTGATCCAGATTTGCGTCTGATATGACGTAATATCTGAAACCTATCAGAAACGTTGCTATCAGAAACAATGCCCGACTGTTTTGGACTTAATATGGTCGGTGTTTACATTAGCATCGCTAACACTCAGAGCTAACCTGTACTGGAGAGCATGTGTGTGAAGAAGCAGGAAATAAAAAGGAACTCACCTTGTGGTATAACCGGCAAGAGAGAAAGCCTTTGAGCTCCATACTGTTTCAGAGATAATCCTTGATAATCCATGATATGGCGTTTCATCACGGCAGTATTTAGTTTAGACAGTAGCTGCCAGGTCCCGCATGAGCTCAGATCCCTCCTTTTTATTTTTTAAAGCTTTATACCCAAATCAGCACTTTTGAAACAGGAAGTGAAATAGAGGGATATGAGGCATGGCTAGAATGGGTGATCTGTTTGGTATTTTGAGCAAAACACTTCATAGACATGTTTTTTATATATTTGTATTACCTAAAAACAGCATGATAGGAGACCTTTAAATCCCCCTGAAACACATATTTTTTAATAATGGCCACTATAATTCATTTCAACATATTCGGGTGAGTTTGACCCGTGATCTACCTG